ATGGAAGAGTATTTTTTTGACCAAAAAGACTGGTTAAAGTGGGAGCAAGATGGTCCCTAGGTTCAGGCTACAACTTATCAGTCTAGCGAGATCCTTGGATTCCAGATGATAATCTATGCCCTTCAAATGGAAGGGGAAAATTATTACATCCAAATCTGATGGTTAACCATTTAATTAATCCGATTACTAAAGAATGACACATTCCTATTCTACAAGAATTTATGGATCCAATAGATATTCAATTAATTCGAGGAATGACTATTAGTCAAGTACATAAGCCAGATAGGTTTATTTGGCATCATACAAATTCAGGAAGATATACAGGAAAATTAGGCTATCGGCTTGCCCGAGGGATGACTGAAGCGATTGAATGGGGCCCAAATTGTAAAACTTTACAAGGACAAGCTTGGAAAGTCAAATCTCCTCCAAAAATAAAACACTTCTTATTGCAAATTGCTTCGGGATCCTTAGCAGTAACTTCAAAGTTAGCACATCGAGGGATTCGGTGTGATATTACCTGTAAAAGGTGTGAGATGGCAGAGGAAACAATTAATCATATTTTATTTAAGTGCTCTTATTCTCAAAAAGTCGGGGAATTATCTCAAATACCTATGGTATCATGTAGTTTTCCTCTAAGGTCGGAATTCTCTAATCTAGACTATCTTTATTGGAGGCTACCACCTCCTATAGATGGAGGGGAGAAAACTTAGTGTTATGCTTGGATTTTGTGGTTTATATGGAAAGATAGGAATAGAAAGGTTTTCAAAGGAATACAATCTGAACCCACAGATATTTTAAATCATTTTTTGAGTGAAAAATTAATGTGGGAAGAAGCTCAATTGGAACCGATGGAAAATAGCAATATTACGGATTTTATGGAAAGGCAAATCCAATCTATAAATTGTCGGATTGATGGCTCTTGGAAATCTTCGGACCCAACTATGGGTATAGGATGGTGGTGGTTTCAAGGAATTGATCAAACTTTGCTGCTTGGTGCAAAATGCCTTCGAAGATGCCCCTCCTCCCCCCATTCATTCGAAGTTGGAGGCTTTAATTTGGGCTATGAAGAACATCTTTTCAAGAAGGATTGATTGTCAGGCGTTTGAAACAGATTGCTCTGAGTTAGTCTCGATGGTACAATCTCCTGAAGAATGGCCCGTATTCTCCAATCTGCTAAATGATTTGGATTTGCTCCGTGTCTCCTTTCCCCTCTTCTCGCTTTCTCTTATTTCTCGTTTATGTAATGTTAAGATGGACTTCTTAGCCCGTTCTTATACATTTTTATTTTCTAATATTACTTTTTAATTAATGTGTGATTAACAATATATATATATATATATATTCATCAATTTTTCACGTTTAGGAAAAATAACTCTACCATATACCATTATTTGTGTTTCTGAAGTTAATACATTCACGTTATTTGGGTAACCAATCTAAGAATTACGTTTGCGATTGTGGTTAATAAACTTTGATTCGTCATATTCCCATCTGGATAACACATGATTAGTGCTTTAATTAGAGAATAGCACCATAATGCTCATAAATCTTTAAAATAATAATGTTAAATGTTATCTTCAGAATTAAAAAAAAAATCATATAGTATTGGACGTGTTTTTCACATTACACGATATAATAACATTATTATTGCAAGATGACACCAACTCGTTAACTTCAACGTCGTGCAGTGTGCACCACATGCGAAAGTGTCTCTATATAATATACTAATCTATAATACAGACTGGTCTTGATTTATTATACTTAGCTAAAATACAGAGTTATACAGGCTGGTCTTGAATAAGCGGTTTCAACTGTTTATGAAGAGTTACAATAAAAAGACGCAACTGTAGAAAACATTCAGAATATAATTTATAAAAAAAACATTACCATAAAATATATATTTTAATTTATAAAAAATTAATGAAAGGTTTCGATAAAAAGACGAAAACGTTCAAAAATGCAAAAGGCATTTATTGAGATTGCTATTATATATAGATTAAAACAGTCTCATTTAGAAAAGATTGTATAAAATCAAAAATTATTTTTATAAAGAGATACATTTTACAAAATATTTTTATACTAACTTTAAAAATAAATCATCCCGCGGTGTATCGCGGGTTAAAATCTAGTTTAGTGGTACAAACAAAACTAGTTTAAAGGTTTACAAATTACCTAAATCAAAGATTTGTAACGAGATTATTATTTTGAAACTCAATTTATTCTTTACACAAATTAACCATTTAAAGTTTTTTTAATTGAATGTTAAATTATATTCAAATGAAAAATAAACGTTTTTATATCAAAATGTCGTAAATTTGAAAAGATGATTGAAAAAAGTAACCGTTGAGAGAGCTAAAAAAGACTGTGTAATTTAACCCCAAAAAAGAGTCTAACTTGTTTATCTATCCACCCCATAATGAGAGCTCTCGAGTGTAGTTCATCGTCTAAGTCTAATCCATTCCGTTTCCTCCAAATCATGTGTGCATAATCCACCATGTGTTAGTCGTTGCACGTTCGTTAATGCTTGAAGACATTGCTTTTTCTACTGGTATACACATGAGATGTGCATATTTTACTAAAGTTTGATATGATTCGCAAATGAAGCATACAATTTGATAGTACTTCAAATTTTAACATGATCTCGCATCAAGTTGATACTAGTAAGTCGATTGAAAGAGATAATTCATTGTACCTTCTCTTTTTCTCGTTGGAGATCTCTAGAGAATCAAATCAGAGTCATAATACTTCTCCAAAATCTCCTAAGTTTTACTAACTAAAATACCTAACTCCATTCTCGCATGAATTCTTTCTTCCGTTGTAACTTGATTACCTCTCAAACAAAAATTATTTAACCTTATTATTAGAGAATCAGAGAAAACAAAATGAATTAGGTTTTCTCCCCCAATTTCCAGAACTTTTTTCGGTGAAGAAGAAAAACTTTTCCACTTTCTCTTTCTCTTGTTTTTCCTTCGTTTCATTTTTTTAATTTAATTCTTTTATATGAACACATAGAAATGCATAGTTTTAATGACAACTGTTGGGTTATGAAACTGAACGACAACTGTTCATTTACAAAGGCATTTCTGTCCGATTTTCTGCTTGGTATTATCTTTGAAGCTATTATCTTTGAAGGAGTCTTCCTTCTTCCTTAGCTTTCTCCTCCTATATATAAAGTTATCACGACTGCTTTTGATTTTTTTCTTATTAAATGTTTAATGTCTTTAATTGTTTGATATACTTTGACAAAAAAACAAATTGTTTGTTATATCTTTCACCTAAAAGAATCCGAATTTCAGTAACAATTAAGTAACTAATGTTGAAAATAAATTATGCTTTTATACACATAAATATTTTGCCAAGAAAAGCATGCCATACCATTTTTCACACCAATATTTCAGAAAGATAGGAATGGATGATAAGGCTACTCATATATTCAAAAATACAAATGTATGATTATCGAACAAGAAAATATAATTTATGGGTTTTATAACAATAATAAGAACTTTTTTTTTTAGTTTCGTTTTATTTTAAAAACAACTAGACCTAAAGCGATTAAATTTTCATGATATATAATTATATTAATCTTGATCCAGTCAAAAATACTTATGCTTCACCACCACAATGTTTCGGATATAAAAACAAATAAACGAGTCTAAGATATGAATTTCCTTCTACAATAATTGGTTGATTATTTGGATTTATATAAAAGAGAAGTGTTATTTCACAACAAATTAAAACATATATAAACGGACAACCGCACTCGAAAGTGGTCGACGTCTGAGCGATTTCAAGATCTTAACCGTAGGACTAAAAGTTTTTGTAAATATACAATATAATAGTTATGCCAAAATATCTAACATAAAGAAGTTTTTGTAAATATACAATATAATAGTTATGCCAAAATATCTAACATAAAGAAGTTTTTGTAAATATACAATATAATAGTTATGCCAAAATATCTAACATAAAGAAGTTTTTTTTGTGACCCAAATAGCTAGAAACAACACACATGTCTTTTGATGTGAATAAAGTAATAACAAAGGTCTAGATATTTATTCGCTTGTTTGAAGCTACATTGAAAGATGTAGGGGCATTGAAGATGCAACTCATCAGTGCACTTAGGACCTACGCCCACCCCATATAAAGAAGAATAGAAATAAAGAAGAAAGTTCCAAAACTATAATAGATTTTTCAACTTCTTTGGTTCTATAGAAGAAGAAATTCAAATTTAGGAGGAGAAAGCTAAGGAAGAAGGAAGGCTATTCTGTGAAAAGTCTTATTGAATTTGACATACGGTGAAAGGAAAAAAAATTGTTGTGTTATGTGAAAATTACTATAAATAATACCACCTGTTTACGTTTTTACTTATTTTAATACGTGTTTTCGTTTTTTTTTTTACCTTCAAAATATTCATCAAATTTTCACCTTTAAAAATTGATTCTACTATATATATATTACTAATATGTTAAAATTAATCAAATAAAACATAAAATGATTAATCTACTAAAACTAGATTTTCAGTGTTTTTATCGAATTTAATTCATACATGTTATTCGCTATTTATTCAATATATGTTATGTCCATTATTTTTTGGAATGAAAACAAAGAAAAAATTATTTAAAATTTGACAAAAAAAAGTAATTGTGTTTCTGCAAAACAAAATACATTCACGTTATTTGGGTAACCAATCTAAGAATTACGTTTGCGATTGTGTAACTAAGTTATTACAACGACACATACCACTCTTATCATATACTCATTGCTCACATCTCACCTCATACTCGTGTACTCTCAGACGCAAACTCTTTCGAGTTCTGAGTACTCCTTACCACTCTCACTCTTAGGCCACAAAGTCTCTCGATCTATCGGTATCACACTTATACCACTCTTACCCTGGATCATACAATCTTACGAGCTCTACGTATCATACACATACCACTCATATCATATACTCATTGCTCACATCTCACCTCATACTCCTCTACTCTCAGACGCAAACTCTTTCAAGTTCTGAGTACCCCTTACCACTCTCACTCTTAGGCCACAAAGTCTCTCGATCTATCGGTATCACACTCATACCACTCTTACTCTAGACCATACAATCTTACGAGTTCTATGTATCATACTCATACCACTCTCACTCTGCGTCGTACAATCTTATGCGCTTTAGGTATCATATTCGTAACTAAGTTATTACAACGACCAGGGGCGGATCTATATAGGTTTATATGGGGGCAGTTGCCACCCCTAAAATTTTGAAATCTCTTAAGAGTTTTAAGGAAATAATTTAATTGCCCCCCATAGAAAATCTCTTTTGCACCCCCTTAAAATTTTTGTTCTCCAATTAATCAAATTCATGTTAACTAAAAAAGGTAAATGAAAATTACTTATCTCTTTTCCCCTTTAATTTAGTTAAATTGGTACAAATTTAAATCCAAATATAAATAACAACCTAAACTCATGCATTCACCATAATATTTATTTCCCTTTTGTATCAACTCAAAAATCAATGATTAAAAATTTTGGTCTCTTGGGACTTGGGTGGTTCATAATTATAGTAATTAATATTTTATGTATTGTTTTCAAAATATTTGAGTTTTCAAGCAAACAATACAATAAAAATCTTAGTACAAAATTTCATAAATTTAAATTTTACATTTTGATTTATTTTAGTTTATGTTTATGTAAATTTTAAATCAAACTAAATATGTTAACCAAAATTTCTAACTTTTAAATATTACTCTTTGTTTTTAAAAACTTAAATGATTTTTAATAGAAATATTGTATTCATTCTATTTTTTTGTATAGTATCACAATTAATAAAGCAAAAACTCTATATTTTGTTTTTATTATATAGATATATATATATATATATATATATATATTCTATATATATCGATCGCCTCCTATAAAAAAAATTTCTGGATCCGCCACTGACAACGACACATATATTCTATAAATTGAAAAAGATGTTGTTAATCAACTTTGATTCGTCATATTCCCTTCCGTCAACTTTTATTAGAGAATAGCACCATAATGCTCATAAATCTTTAAAATAATAATGTTAAACGTTATCTTCAGATTTTTTTAAGAAAAACATATAGTATTGGACGTGTTTTTCACATTACACGATATAACAACTATTAGATGTTAATATTTAACATTATTATTGCAAGATGACACAAACTCGTTTACTATCGTGTACTGTGCACCACATGCGAAGTGTCTCTATATAATATATTAATCTGTAATTACAGACTGATCTTGATTTATTATACTTATCTAAAATACAGACTGGTCTTGATTTATACTTAATCGTTTTCTTCACTTACTAATTGATTCGTTTAAACTTCATCAAGGTACGACACTTCTTTTTTTGGTTTTCGCTTTGTTATAACTACCATTTCTTGATTTTTGATATATAAATTATCTGGTTTTCACGGTTCTTTGTTCTGTTTTCTTACTACCATTATTGATCCCAAGTGCCGTTAATTTGTAAATAGAGCCGTTTATTTGACTTTGACCATTGAGTATTTTGTGGATTTCCTCTGGATTCTTGAATTTTATAATTAGGACATGATCACTTAACCTCTTCAATTGTTAAATCTTGAGTGGTTTCAGAAAACAGGAATGGAAGGTCGATGCTTGATCAAGAACGATGTCACTGAAGTAAAATCTCCATATTCTTATGTATCTCTTTGCTTTCTTGAAACAAAGAACAAGTGTAAGATCATTTGATATGTTTGTGCAGTTGATTGGTAACACACCAATGGTGTATCTGAACAATGTTGTTGATGGTTGCGTGGCTCGTATCGCTGCCAAGCTTGAGATGATGGAGCCTTGCTCTAGCGTCAAAGACAGAATCGCCTATAGTATGATCAAAGATGCAGAGGAGAAAGGATTGATTACTCCCGGAAAGGTTAATAGAAAGTTATAATATAATTTTCTTCAATTTCATAGATGGAATTTGATTGTTTTTTTTTTGTTATATAAAGAGTACATTGATTGAGACAACGGCGGGAAACACCGGGATCGGTTTAGCCTGCATCGGAGCTGCCAGAGGCTATAAAGTGATCCTTGTGATGCCTGAAACGATGAGCTTAGAGAGGAGAATCATTCTGAGAGCATTCGGTGCAGAGCTTCATCTCACAGCCAAGGGTGTAGGTATTAAAGAACAGATGGAGAAGGCTCAAGAGATATTAAGCAAAACTCCTGGTGGTTACATTGCAAAACAGTTTGAGAATCCTGCAAACCCTGAGGTTTATATAATATCATTCATCCAACACAATTATATATATCCTATTAGTCTCTCTATGTCCTCATTGAACACAAGTTTGTATCTTGCAGATTCATTACCAAACCACGGGACCGGAAATATGGAGAGATTCAGCTGGGAAAGTAGATATATTGGTTGCTGGTGTTGGGACTGGTGGAACAGCTACTGGAGCAGGGAAGTTCCTTAAAGAGAAGAATAAAGACATTAAGGTTCAAAACCTTTACTAATTCTTAAAAACAACGAAAAAAATGGTTTTTCTTTATAATGTGGTTATAATCTTGATCTTTAGGTTTGTGTGGTGGAACCAGTAGAAAGTCCGGTACTGAGCGGAGGTGAACCAGGTCAGAAAATGAACATTTGATACATCTTCTATTATTTATTTTTTGTTTGGTATGAGATCCAACGTACATATATACAGTGATAGATTAACATATATTGAGGGAGTTGTAGACTTATGTGCAATTAATTAGTAAATTACCTTTGTATAGTTTGGTAATTTATATTTTTGTAACTAGGTTTATTGATATGTTGTTATGAGTTAAATACATATAATAGTAGACTTCAAGTGCCCATGCAATCACAGTAGTATTTAGCGAATCATATCTATAGGATCAAAGAAACACACAAAAGACTTGCAAAGACTTAAACTAAGCTAGGACAATAAAGAATTACAAGAACTCAGAGGGTTTTGCAGAGATGAAATACATAATAAAAATAAATATATAATATAATATATAATATAAGAAATAGAGCTTCAGAGAATTCATTCGAGAATATATGAAAACATGTAAGTTCGATTATGACTTTTAAATAGCCTTGAAATCAGATTTCTATTGTAAATTACCCTAACGGCGTTTCAGCGAGAATTCTATGAAAGGACTTCATGGCTTCATAGACCTTGGTTAAGCTTGGTTCCAAGTAATCCAATCACGCAATAAGAACAGAATCAAATAGATTTTATAAAACTAATAAATACTTATAGCAAAGCTCGTTAAGAAGTTTTGCCTCCTTTTAATAGATCCATCTATTCAACACCATGGCTAGGTTAGATGAATAAGATCATGGGAAATAGGTGAATTATCTTAATTCAATCTTAGGCTTTAAGAAAAAATTAAATGCAAAGGATAAAGAGAGATCATAACAGAGAAATACACTTAGGTTTAGCATACTTGTATCTTTTTGGGGATTCTCAACTGTTTAACAACAGTGGAATTCGACAAGATACAGATCGGTTGGGCATGCCCACCGATCGGTAAAACTACAGGATAGGACTACTCACACATGACCAAAGTACATATGATCATTGTAGAGTAGAGATCATCAATTCTAAAGGAGATATACCAAAGGTTTTAGAAAACATAAAGCATAAACAAAGAAAGAAGATGAAGAAAAGGAAGAACACTTTAGAACTATAAAATTGCAAAAGTAAATCGTATCTATGCGGCTACATAATACAAGAGTATATATAGGGATTGGGAGGAAGTCCTAGAAAAGAGAAATAGGTGGTTTAATGAAAGCTCACCGATCGGTGGACAAGCCCAACCGATCAGTGGCCCACATGATTCTTTACTAGTTCGTGCAAGACTCCACCAAACGGATCTCCTAATGGGTCTTCTCTTCTTTTGATGCTATTTGGCCCACTTCAACCTTAATATGCTTACTCTTGTTCTGCAGGTCCAATCCCAATCTAGGTTTCTTAACATGGTATCAGAGCTTAACCTAAAATATTAGGTCCTTCGATCCTTTGCCTCCCTTTATTGTCGAAATCTGTTTTCAATTTTCCCACTTTCTTTGACCTTAAGATTATCGAACATTTTGTGGATACATCTAGTCTAAAACTATGACATAAGAAACTGCCAAAAAGATGGTTCACTCATTACAACCGGTTCTTGTCCATGCCTTGAGATGACAAAAAGGAAAATCGATCCATAGGATCTCTCCTCGGGTGATAACCCCGAATCGGTTATCTCGCAGCCTCAATTGCGTGGCCCTAACTATGATGAGTGGCCAATGTACCTTCAACTAGCTTTGAGGGCTAGAGAGAAATTTTGTTTTCGCGAATGGCTCTATCCCCAAACCTGATAAAAACATCTTGGAGATTGGTGGGCTAATAATGCTATGGTGGTGTCGTGGATCCGACTCACCATCGCTCCGGACTTGAGTATCTCACTTTCTCATCATGAAATTGCTTACGATCTGTGGATGCAAATACAAAGGCGTTTTTTCGGTTAAGAATGGACGTGTACAATGTCTAAAAACAATGCTGATGAATTGCCAACAAAAGGGCTCGGCCGTGGAGTCTTACTATGGGAAACTTACAAAGTTGTGGACAAGCCTCGCCGACTTTCAACGATCTAAAATAGTGGAAGAGATTGCAACGGAAAGAGAAGAAGATAAATTACTTCAATGCTTGATGGGGCTTGATAAGAATGTGATTAATTCGGTCAAATCCTCTTTATTTTTGAGAGATGCACTTCCAACTGTTGATGAAGCATATGAAGTTGTGACTCAAGATGAGGATTCAAAACGAGCGAGCCGGAAGATGGAAGAACACAATGAGGGAGTTAGCTTCGCTTTCCAACTATTCCTTGCGCCAAACCACCAACACAACTACGTGATCCCTTGGCCGTGTGTACTGTGTGCGGAAGAACATGGCATCTAGCTGACAACTATTTTCGAAAGCTTGGCTATCCATGGTGAGGGGGCGATCGTACTCATTCGAAGCCTCGAAATACACAACATGGAGCTTCAAATATCCCAAACATTGATCGATGCAGAACTTTGTCTCCATCTCTACAACCATGACGAACTGAATCAGCGAAAGCAATTCATATGGTCACTTCACCACTTGTGTTTGCTGCCAATACAATAATAATGGAGGCTGATTGTGTCGGGATTCTAGGTTTGAATGATCAGCAATGCGAGATGTTGAAGCTGATGATTAATGAGAGAAAACTCGATACCAACGTTCGTCTTTGGGGTAAGTTTTTATCGAATCTTGGGTAATTGACACAGGTGCCTCGAATCATATGAACATGAAGCACTGAATTTCTCGTTGGTGTTTTTGTTATGGCTCATGTGTTTATTAAATTACCTAACGGTTGTTTTACTACATCAAACAAACATGGAAAAGTTTGTCTCGGGTCTCATCTCCAGTTGTTCAATGTGTATTCTGTTGATGGATTACACTGTCATCTATAACAGTATCTCAAGTAACATGAGATAGGGGATGTATCTTTCAGTATCTGACAAGCTTTGTGTTGTTTAGGACCGCATCACACAAACGCTGATTGGCGCAAGTGAACAGATAAATTGTCTTTATTTCGATAGAGGATTGGCAATGGCAGAAGTGACCAAAAGTCTTGGACAAACAATCTATCCAAGTGTGGCATTGTCGTTTGGACAACCTTTATGTAAAGCTATGGAGATGCTGAAATTATCTACTAGTAGTAGTGGTTTTGATTCTAAGTCTTGTGACGTTTGGAGATGCTGAAATTATCCGTTCAAAACAAACACGTGATTCATTTCCTTTGAGCATTAATAAAACTTCTACATTTTTTCAACTTGTTCATTGTGACTTCTGGGGGCCTTACCGGACAACTTCGATTTGCGTTTTACGGTTTTTCTTACAATTGTTGATGATTACTCTCGAACTGCGTGGGTTTATTTGCTGCCAAGTAAATTCCAACTCCGGCTACTCTTCGGTAATTAGTCGAACAACACTTAGATGAGAAAATAAAAACCATTAGGAGTTGTAATGGTTCTGAGTTTCTAAGTCTAAGCGAATTTTTTCGAGATAGGAATAATTCATGAGACTTTTTGCGTAGGAGCTCCACAAGAGAATGGAAGGGTAGAGCGTAAACATCGTTACATACTCAATATCGCACTTACTTTGCATTTTGAAGCTAATCTTCCTATTGAATTTTGCAGTTTTTGTGCTCTTACACTGGGTTATTAATCGAACTCCATCTCCGCTACTTAATGGAAAGACTCCATTTGAGTTGCTAAACAAAAGATCTCCTCCGATTTATCATTTGTGGATTTTTTTGGGGTTTGTGCTATGTTCATAACCAACGCCATGGTGGAGATAAATTTGCTTCTAGGAGTAATCGACCAATTTTTATCGGATATCCATATGGGAATAAAGGCTGGAAAGTCTATGACTTGAGAGTGGGGTTATCTCAACATCTCGTGATGTTGTTTTTATTGAAGACAAGTATCCCTTTCCTAAAACTATTACCGATTCTACATCTTCTACACAAGTAAATGTTGTGTTTCACCGTTGCATTATACTCGCGATGATGATGATGACACGTTTATAAGTCCATCACCGTATATGCTTTATCTTCTGTCGACTATGATAACGTCTCCCCATGTGTATCCTCCAAGTGAAGCATTACCTGAGATTGAGGCACTCGTTGTGTCTAAGGATTCCTCTTCGATACTACTCTCTCCAATTACCATGCGTGAATCCACACCTCTTGAAGAATTGCAAAACCACAACACATTCACCAGAGTTAGAAACCTCTAATTCTGAGACATCTGATGATGACATGTCAGATCTTCAAGATGGTGAGAGCCCTAAAGGAAAAGGATGTAGACAACATTTTCCAAACAAATGGCTTCGAGGTTATGTCACTAATACGAGCCATGTTGGCTCCGATAGTGATTTTGTTGATTCCGTGGGGTACCCGATTGACAATTATGTTGATTGTTCTCAGTTCTCCGATTACCATAGAGTTTTTCTTGCGGCAATAACTGTAGGTGTTATCTTTAGATCCTACGATGAAGCGGTTCTCGATAAAAATTGGCGAGAGGTTGTAAGAGGAGATATTTATGCACTTGGACAACTGAAAGTTTACCAAAGGGTAAGAAAGGTTTGGGATGCAAATGGGTTTTCACATAGAAGTATAAATCTGATGGCTCCTTGGAAAGATATAAGGCATAATTGGTTAGTCTTGCCAAAATCAAACAGAGGGACTTGATTACCAAGAAACATTTGGTCTTGTTTGTAAGATGGGGACAATGCGCTCTTTTCTAGAAGTCTTTGTTTCTCGAGACTGGGAAGTCCAACTGATATATATGTTCATAACGTATTTTACACGGAGATTTAGATGAAGAAGTATACATTCGCTTTCCTTCGGGTTTTTGAACAGACGACAAGACTCAAGTTTTTCGGCTTCATAAATCTTTGTATGGTCTTAAAGAAGCTACATGTTGTTCGTTTGCGAAGCTTAATACGATAATAAAGGAATACGGATTCACTTACTACTTATCCGAGTATTCCTTATTTACTCTTGTTGATGCTAACGGTGATATCCGACTTCATGCCCTTGTTTATGTTGATGACCTTATTATCTCCAGTATTATGAATGCCATTTTTCTGGGATTCAAAGATTATTTGAGTTCTTGTTTTCACATGAAGGATTTGGGAATTTTGAAGTACTTTTTGGGGATTGAGGTGGCTCTACGGGTGAGGTGTTACATGATCATTCACGTAGTAGACGATTGGTTGGATGTCTTATATATCTCAGTGTCACGATACCCGAATTATCATACGCTATCCATATCCTATCTCAGTTTATGCATGCTCCAATGACTGACCATTGGGAAGCTGCGGTAGGAGTTCTAAACTATTTGAAAGGTAATCCCGGGCAAGGTTTACTAATATGTGTTGACTCAGATTTACGTCTTACGGCTTGGTGTAACTCAGATTATGCGGGTTAACCATTATCTAGACGTTCTATTACATCTTGGTTTATTCAACTAGTTGGTTTTCCATTTCTTGGAAAACACGGAAACAAGTAACGGTGCACTATCATCGGATGAAGCCGAGTATAGGGAAATGGGGATATGGTAAGCGAATTGCTTTGTTGCGGGAGTTGCTAAAGCACTTGGCGTTGATTGTTTGGCGTCTTCATTATGATAAAACAATTGATGATATACATTAGCGCAATTCCAGGTTTTTACGAACGTTCGAAGCATATCGAAACAGATTGTCACTTTATCCGAGATGAGATCGTTTGTGGTGTCATTGCTCCTCAACTTGAGTTAGATAGTTTTCTTCTCAAGTTGGGTATTTGTGATCTCCACCTTGAGAAGACGGGGGAAGGGGGGAGTGGTATGGGAGACTTATGTGCAATTAGTAAATTATCTTTGTATAGTTTGGTAATTTATATCTTTGTAATTAAGTTTATCGATACATATATAAGGATATGACTTCACATCTAAATGAATAAGTAAACCTTTGTACCAATCTAGGTTTCTTAACAACATACGCTCCAAGTTATCTTTAAGATCATCATTCTCTCGTCCTATCAATTCTTGCATTTCTAATCATTACGTTCCATATTTTGTAGGTCCACATTTGATCCAGGGACTTGGCGCTGGTATCGTTCCATTCAATTTAGACTTAACCATTGTTGATGAAATTGTTAAAGTAAGTAGCCTGGGATGAATCTACTTCTTGATCTATCTTGAACAAATAATGTAAGATTTGGAATCTTTTGATTTAGGTGACAAGTGAAGAAGCTATTGAAACAGCCAAGCTTCTTGCCCTCAAAGAAGGATTACTGGTACACTCGGTTAACATTGTTTTCTTGGTATAAACCTGAGAAAGAAGGAATTTTTTGATAAATGTGATCATTCATTTGGCAGGTGGGAATATCCTCTGGAGCCGCAGCAGCAACTGCGTTAAAGATTGCAAAGCGGCCTGAAAACGTAGGGAAACTCATTGTGGTAAGATTTTTCACAAACTTTGAGTTCACTGAAATCATACCAGGTTTATTAAATTTCCTGGTTGATGTCTGGTTTGCAGGTGGTTTTTCCCAGTGGGGGAGAACGTTATCTATCAACTACATTGTTTGATTCAGTTAGATATGAAGCAGAGAATTTGCCTATTGAATGAATTGGAGTTTGGGGGACGTATGATTCGGTTTGGTTTGGTAAGAGATGTTCGTACCAAGATTACAGTTTGATTATTACTAGTCACTGTAAAATCTACAAGGAAAACCATTGACTTTTTTTTTTTAATGAACATTTTCGGTTTGGTCTGTGTTCATACATTGTCTACTATAATAATTTGGTGTGATACTTTTTCATTATACGTTTCAGTTGTTACTAAAATTTTCTGATATATTTTTTAGTTGTTATGAACCCATTAGGTAGATGCCCATTATATGCTCATCTCAGGCTCATATTCTAGAATGTTCTAGATTTTCTTGTTCCCCAAGTTCTACTTGTTCTCTAAGTCTTGTATTCTTATATATATACTTCTATGAAATACTAGGTTGTAAAAACAAAATTTATATATAATAGCGATCTCAATAAATGTCTTTTGCACATCTCAACGGTTGTGTCTTTTAATCGCAACTTTTCGTTAAAATTTTAAACATATTTTTTAGAAAATTACAATCCGAATGTATTTTGCGGTTGCTTCTTTTTATTGTAACTCTTCATAAACAATTGCAACCTCTTATTCGAATTATTGCAATATTTAGTTTATTTCACGAACAATTGCAACCTTTAATTTATATATTTAGTTGACCAATAGTAGGTACAACTTACTAGACACCATGAATATCACAAACAATTGCAGCCTTTGATTTATATATTTAGTTGATTTCACGAACGATTGTAACATTTGATTTATATATGGGTGAGGAACACTCTGGCACACTTTTCTTGTCTTTCATAACAAAACACACATTAGCACATTTGCATTTTTTTAACTGTTCAACAATAATCAATACGACTTTGCCCCTGAACTATGTAAGGCTTATGTTATGAATGATGTAGGCCAACACTCTTTTCCTCCTTCCTCGTCACTTGTATTTCTCTTTTTTTTTTTTTTTCATTTTCCTTTTAATATCACTTTAGTTACTTAATATTATGTATATTATTTTTTTCTTTATACAATAAATTAAGATTTAATTTTTTCTACATTTTAAGATCCATTGTTGCTATATTTTAAGTGAATAATTATATTATTTATATTATCCATTTCCGATTGAACATCATAAAAGTGTTAAGTATTTATTCTCACAGAAAGAGTTAAAATCTTAGACATAAAAGATGGATTGAATTGCTAAGTGACTATGACTGTGAGATTCTATATCATTCAGGAAAGGTTAATGTGGCTGTCGATGCCTTGAGTAGAAAGCAAGTTGTAGTTGCATCTCTAAGAGCATCTCCAATGCCCATCTCCAAATTTTCCTCTTTTTTAGAGGAGATTTTGCTCCAATGTATACCTCTAAAATAGAGTTTCCTCTAAAATAGAGTTTCTTCTAAAATAGAGTTTCCAATCTAATCCAATGTCTCTCTCCTCTATTTTAGAGCAAAATCTCCTCTAAAATAAAGAAAATTATAGAGATGAGCATTGGAGATGCTCTAATTTGAATTTGGTTGAGAAGGTGAGTCAGCTTCACATTTCTATTTAGGAATAACAAAATCCTAGATTCCTCCTAGCCACTCAGATTTATTAGCCCGCAATCGTGATGCCCACGGGCAAGAAGTTAAACTAGGTCCTATTTGTGGGAAACCTAAGGATTTTAGTCAACTTGGGTATACGCTTAGAAACGATATAGTGTTATCTTTCAAATGAAGAGTTTGTGTACCTAAGTTGTCTGAGTTGTTGAAGAAGATTTTGTGAGAGGGATATCAATATGGATATACTGTTCACCCATGTAGCCCTAATATGTACCAAACACTTACAACTTTTTTTTATCATTTTTATGGTATGAAGGGTGATATTGTAGAGTTTGTATCAGAGTGTTTGGTATGGCGGCAGGTAAAAATTGAGCATCAGAAGCCTAGTGGTAAATTGTAACCGTTGCCTATGCCAGACTAGAAATGGGAGAAAGTTTCCATGAATTTTGTCATTGGACTTCCAATGTCGCAAAAGGGAAATGACTCGATTTGGGTAATAGTAGGCCAACTCACTAAATCAACTAATATTCTTCTAGTAAAAGAAAGGCATTTTGTTCATCCTGAGTCTTAGAGATCTATGTGAAAGAAATTGTGAGGTTGCATGATGTCCCAAGTAACATTGTTTCAAACGTGATCGAAAGTTTACTTCACATTTTTGGGATAGCTTACATCAGGCATTGGATACACAACTATATTTTTGTACTGCTTCTCATCATAAGACAAATGGACAGTCAGAAAGGACTATACAAACAATAGAGGATATGTTGAGATCATGTGGTTTGGATAGTCATCAATCATGGGAGAGATCATTGCCATTGATCGATTTTGCTTATAATAATAGCTTCCATGCGAGTATTGGTATGACATCATACGAGGCTTTGTATGGTAGGCCATGTCGTACACATTTGTGTTGGGCAGAAGCTAGAGAAACCACCGATATTGTCAAAAGAGTTGTGCAGATCGTCGAAGGCGTGATTTGGAATTTCAAGTGGGTGATTAAGTATTTATTGAACACCTACCGAAGGCAAATTTCAATTTAGGTAGTCACGAAAGTTAAAGCTTAGCTTTATTGGTTCTTTTATGATTCTCAAACATGTTGGAAATGTAGTTTATCAATTATTATTACTTCAAGAGTTGGGACATGTGCATAAAGTATTCCATATATCGATGTTGAGGAATTATCATCATGATCCATCTCATATGGTGAACTTTCAACCATTACAAATTCAAGAAGACTTGAGTTGAAAAAGAATCAATTCAAATTTTGGGGACTGTGTAACGCTCCGACCGCCACTTTTAATGGGCCCCACGTCCTCTCTCGGCCCGTGGGCCCACCATCTTTCGACGGCCGGTCCGCTACGTCTAGGAGCCTTTAAAGACTTGTTTACCGACACTACAAATCACCACATGATCTTTTCCTGTGTTTTGTCCTCACTCACACAGTTCCGACAATCACTTCTCGGAAGGTCACCCATCTTGAAATTGCTCTATCTCAAGCACCCTTAACTGTGGAGTTCTCTCAGGACAGTTGACCGAAAAGATAAGTGCACTTTGGTGAGTTAGGTGGCCAAATCAATTCTTTTAAACCTCTCCGCATGCACCACCACATCCCTGAAACCGGGATGTTACAATTCATCCCCACTAATAGATCGCAACGTCCTTGTTGCGCACCAAAACCGTCACCCCCTATGGTGTGAGCCCTTTTGACTCCACACTCGTCTGGGTTCGGCTCTGATACCACTTGTAACGCCTCGACCGTCCCTACGTGGGCCCCACGTCCTCTCTCGGACCCATGGGCCCACCCCTGTCCGACAGCCGGTCCACTACGTCCGGGAGGCTTTAAAGACTTATTTAACGATCCTACAAATCACGACATGATCCTCCTCTGTATTTTGTCCTCACTCACACAGTTCCGACAAACTGCCTGGAAGGTCACCCATCTTGAAATTGTTCCAGCTCAAGCACCCTTAATTCTTGAGTTCTCTCGAGACAGTTGACCGAAAAAATAAGTGCACTTTGGTGACATAGGTGGCCAAATCAATCCTTTTAAACTTCTCTGCATGCACCACCATATTCCTGAAATCGGGGTATTACAGACTGTCGCATAAGAAACAACATGGGAGTTAGAGTGTATTGTGAATCTCTGAATTGTATCCCCATCTGCTTCTGATTGATCTCTTAATTCGAAGATGAATTCTTTTAAGAATGGTGGAATTGTAACACCCCAAATTTATAGAAAAAAAACAAAAAGCATATTTTGGGTTCAATTGATCAATTATAAAAGTTTTGAAACTGTCTGATTTTAGAGGGATTTCTATTCATTTGAAAAGTGTAGAACAGAATCTGTAAATAAAGAAAGTAAAGGGACTAAAGTGCAAAACCAGAAAATTGGTTGCATCTCGATTTCAACTTTGCCGAAAAAGAATGATAGTTTTTGGCAAGTTGAATCTTTGTCTTTTAACCCTAATACGTTGTATATATATGCGTTTCAAAGTCCCAACGAATTAGAAGTCGAATCTCATGTCAATTTGAGACTTTTGGTGAGTTTTCGAGATCCTTTTTTGCCTCAACTCTGATTTGCATATTTTTGATAATTTATGATCAGAATTCGTGGTGGTTTACATTGGTTGTGGCCTCTGTTGTTGGTGCTTTATCACTGAGTTGTTTTCACCTTTCCTAAGACTGCTAGGTAAGCTTCATCTTCTTCCTTTTTCAATTTTCCTCTATGGAAGTGAGCTAGAAGCTCTTTAAAGGTTGATTTTGTTTGAGGAAGAATTAGGCTTTGAACTATACCTTGTTAGAAAGGTTTCATTTGTAAGAATCCAACGCCACTAACATCTCATAAAACGGAAGTCGGAATTTTGTGAAATATGATTGGTAAATAATTTGATTTTGTGGTTTTCTAGTCAAATCGGGAATTTTTAACACCGGTTCTTAAGGTGTGAAACCGGTTCTGGATTGATATAGATATTGAAAATACACCTCTGAAAACATATTTTGATTTGGTTGAGTTTTGAGTTTAAATCGGCTACAATTCATACCGGTTCGGATGCGTTTAAACCGGTTTTGGAAACTAAGATACCTGATTAAGATGGCCCATGAAAGTAACTTTCCAATGTTATATTGTGCGTATGTTTCTGATCAACGTTTGAATTTAGGTCAATTAATTGGTGGCTTGGGACTTGTGTAGACTTTATTAAGCAATCTCTGGCGGCCAGCATCGCTAATAGATGTAATCTGTACTCTGATATTCTAATAGTTGTATTGAGGTCGGTTGATGTCGTGGACCGTATGTCCTTATCTCCTTATTAGGGGCCAGCATCCATATCGAGTATATTATGTATATATTCTGTTAGTATATGGTTTGGATCGATCAATGTTGGGGTTGTGCTATTCCGATGTTGCATTGCTAGATAACTGGACGTTCTGTTCTAATGATATTATTCTGTCTATTGATTTGATTATGTATTTTGATAGTAGAAGTTTTGATGTGATTTATATTTTATCTAAAATTAATTGAATTAGAATTTATGTCTGTTAGTACCAACATGTGAACATTATTCTATGCGGGATCAGACCGTGTTGGTACTTGTTCGTCGGGTTTGTAATCTCATTGGGTGATTTTTTGCTCACATAAGTGATTATTCCGTGCATAGGGTATTGAAGTG